TAGTTTGCTACTATGACTGCAATCAATTTTCATCTACCCAAAGAAACCATTTACCCTTCAGCATTCATGCTGCATTTGCCCCTAATCCCCTAGCCCCTGGCAACCACATCTACTTTCTGTCTCTATAGACTTCTCTATTTTGGACATTTTATATAAGTGGAATAATACAGGATGTGGTATTTTGTAACTGACTCCTCTCAGCACAATGTTTACTAGGTGCATATATGTTGTTTGTAAATTTCCCAAATTTCCTTCTGTTACCGATATCTGTATTCATTCCATTATGGTTGGATAGCTGCTTTGTATGATTTTAACCTTTTTAAATTTATTAAGGTTTGTTTTATGGCCTAGCATCTGGTTTGTCATAGAGGATATTTTGTGGACACTTGAGACATGAAATAAAAAGATGCTTGCTCATTGCAAGAAAAACTATAACCAACCTAGACAGCATATTAAAAAGCAGAGACATTACTTTGCCAACAAAGGTCCGTCTAGTCAAAGCTATGGTTTTTCCAGTAGTCATTTATGGATGTGAGAGTTGGACTATAAAGAAAGCTGAGTGCTGAAGAATTGATGCTGTGGTGTTGAAGAAGACTTGAGAGTCCCTTGGACTCCAACCATTCCATCCTAAAGGAAATCAGTCCTGAATATTCATTGGAAGGACTGATGCTGAAGCTGAAACTCCAATACTTTGGCCACCTGATGCAAAGAACTGACTCACTGGAAAAGACCCTGATCCTGGGAAAGATTGAAGGTGGGAGGAGAAGGGGATGACAGAGGATGAATTGTTGGATGGCATCACTGACTTGATGGACATGAGTATGAGCAAGCTCTGGGAGTTGATGATGGACAGGGAAGCCTGGCGTCCTGCAGTCCATGCAGTTGCAAAAAGTTGGACATGACTGAGCAACTAAACTGAGAAGAATGTGCATTCTGCAATTTGATGAAATATAGTTATTAGATTTAGTTGGTTTTCAATATTCAAATCTATTTCTTTTTGTTCTTCTTTCTTGAATATAATATTCTTGCTTGACAGTTTTTTTCTTTTAGTACTTTGAAAATCTTATCCTACTACTCTTAAACATCTGTTGTTCCTGATGAGAAGTCAACCGTTTAACTATTGAAGTTGTACATTTGAGTATTTTTCTCTTGCTACTTTCAAGATTTTCTCTTTGGTGTTGACTTTTAGCTCTTTTGCCAGTGTGTCTATGTGTGGATCTTTCTGCATTTATCCTACTTCAAATTTGTCTGTCTTACTGAATATATAGTTTAATGTTTTTTCTTTTTTTAAAAAAAGTAAAATTTCAGCCCCATTATTTTTCTTATATTTTTTCCTCCTTTCTTGCCTTCCTTTCTGAAATCCCACTACAATATTTTGGGGTACTTAATTGTGTTGGAGAAGACTCTTGAGAGTCCCTTGTACTGCAGGGAGATCAAACCAGTCAATCCTAAAGGAAATCAGTCCTGAATATTCATTGGAAGGACTTATGCTGAAGCTGAAGCTCCAATACTTTGGCCACCTGATGCAAAGAGCCGACTCAATACAAAAGACCCTGATGCTGGGAGAGATTGAAGGCAGGAGGAAAAGGGGACGACAGAGGACGAGATGGTTATATCGCATCACTGACTCGATGGACATGAGTTTGAACAAGTTCCGGGAGATGGTGAAGGAGGACAGGGAAGCCTGGGGTGCTGCAGTCTAGAGTTGCAAAGAGTCAGACATGACTGATCGACTCAACAGCAACAAATTGTGTACCATATATCTTTAAGGCTGTGTTAATTTTTTGAAAAATATTTTTGTCTTTTGGACTGCTTAGTATCTCTTGAGTTCTCTTAAATTTTGCTGATTCTTTCTTCTGCAAATTAAAGTATACTATTGAGCCCTTCTTAACTTTTATGCAAAGTACATCATGAGAAACGCTGGGCGGGAAGAAGCACAAGCTGGAATCAAGATTGCCGGGAGAAATATCAATAATCTCACATATGCAGATGACACTACCCTTATGGCAGAAAGTGAAGAGGAACTAAAGAGCCTGTTGATGAAAGTGAAGGAGAGTGAAAAAGTTGGCTTAAAGCTCAACATTCAGAAAACTAAGATCATGGCATCCGGTCCCATCACTTCATGGGAAATAGAAGGAGAAACAGTGGAAACAGTGTCAGACTTTATTTTTTCGGACTCCAAAATCACTGCAGATGGTGATTGCAGCCCTGAAATTAAAGAACACTTACTCCTTGGAAGGAAAGTTATGACCAACCTGGATAGCATATGAAAAAGCAGAGATGTTACTTTGCCAACAAAGGTCTATCTAGTCAAGGCTATTGTTTTTCCAGTAGTCATGTATGGATGTGAGAGTTGGACAATGCAGAAAACTGAGTGCCAAAGAATTGATGGTTATGAACTGTGGTGCTGAAGACTCTTGAGAGTCCCATGGACTGCAAGAAGATCCAACCAGTCCCTCCTAAAGGAGATCAGTCCTGGGTTATTCATTGGAAGGACTGATGGTGAAGCTGAAACTCCAATACTTTGGCTCCCTCATGCAAAGAGTTGACTCATTGGAAAAGACCCTAGTGCTGGGAAGGATTGGGAGCAGGAGGAGAAGGGGATGACAGAGGATGAGATGGCTGGATGGCATCACCGACTTGATGGACGTGGGTTTGGGTAGACTCCAGGAGTTGGTGATGGACAGGGAGGTCAGGCGTGCTGTGATTCATGGGCTTGCAAAGAGTCAGACACGACTGAGTGACTGAACTGGCTGATTGAGCCCTTCTAGTAAATTTTTTATTTCAGTTATTATAGCTTATTATCTCCAGAATTTAAAAAATAATTTATATCTCTTTATGAGTATTCTCTGTTTGGTAAGATATTGTTACCATACTGTCCTTATAATGCTCCTTTGAAGTTTTTATTCAATGTTACACTTGAAACCTCTGAAAGGCAATATCTGTTACCTGCTTTTGTTCTTGCCAGGACCATATAATCCTGTTTCTTTGAATGTCTTGTAATTTTCCTTTAATGGAAAATGGAACATTTCAGATGATATAGCCATTCTGGGTTCTAATTTCCCTCTACCCCGTCCCAGAGAGGGGGGCTGGTTGTTGTTAGCCTGTTTGTTCAGTGACTTGGTGGACTACTTTAGGTACCTTTGTTTCCCTGATCTCTGATAGCACTCACACAGGGTGAAGCCGTGGGCATGTGCACATTAACTCTGGTATGACAGTGCTTTTAGTGGGACTCTGTTTGCCTTCTGTTTGGATTTCTTTGTTAAATGGTCCACCTCTGTTGGTATCACACCCAGTTCTTAGTCTCTTTGATTGCTAGTTGATTGCTCTGTTGTTTTAGGCAGTGCCTTGGGATATATTAATAAATGGCTCCCCAGTGTGACTCAGTTAAATTTGGGCCCCTTTGCAAGAGTAGTTTTTAGGTGAGTCTTTGAGATTTCTTGTGGCCATACAGGAGCCACTAGCTATTCTTTCTGGTAAACTGCCTTGTGATTTAGTTTATTGCTCTCATGAAGCTACCTACTTCCTCTTAATTGTTTGGCACTGAAATCTTTATTGTTTTTGAGATTACCCGTAGACTTGAACTTCCCATGTATTAATTTAAATGAAGTCAGTTCTTCTCTTTGTGTGGCCTCTTTCTCTGGGAAAAACCTCTGCCACAGCTCCAGATCTAGGGGTAGTTACAGTGGCCTGCATTTCTCGGAGCCACACTCCTGCTTTATGAGCACGGCCCTGGTATAGGCAGTAACCTCTGACCTCAGTTTGCTTCTCCTGGTTTGCTAACTCTAAGCCGTGGGTGAGCTGAGAAATGGTGATCAGGATCCTGTTGTTACAGGCGTGTTGCTCCTGAGATAGAGCCTTTCTTCTGTGAGTGAGTATGGGGGAAGCAAGGAGCTCCTGACTTCCCAGCTGCACTTTCTGGCCTTTAGTTGCTGCATAGCTGGTAGACTGGGGAGAGGGGATTAGAAACGGTAATATCCTGCCTTTCTTTTGGAGATACCTCAGTGTCACCTAGAGGGGAGGGGGAGGGACAGCCCTCTGTTCCTGGCTGTACTCACCTGAGGTAGAATTTATGCGTGCTGAACTGGGAGCTGGAGGAGGGAGACAGACTGCACTTCAAATGCCACAGACCCTCGCCATTCTTACCAAGTTTTAGTAGGTTTTTTTCAATAACAATTTCTTCATTTGCTCTTAAGAATTTCTGAAGATTTCAAAGGATTCTTATTTTTACTAATTTTTATCAGTTATATTGTTCTACTAGGGAGTTGATCTGCAGAGGTCCTCATGCATTCATTCTGGAAGAGTCCTAGTGGTCATGTTTTAAAGCCTTGCTTAAGACAGGCCTTTTAAATTAATTATTTCTTCAGTTATTCAGGTGCTGCTTTACACATGTGTTTAAAAACGTTTTGTGTTCTCTTTTATACCTCAAAAAGTCACAATAAAATGTAGACTCCATCTTTGGATAAATTCACATGTAAGCCCAACACTCAGAAGAACTGAATTCTGATTCAATCCCTTCCACATATTAATTGTGAGATCTTGAGTAGGTTACTTAATCACCCTGAATTTATTTCCTCATCCAAAATTTTGAGATAACAGTACCTATTTTTATATTAAATAATACATGTGAAAGCAACTGATAAAACTCTAAAAACTTAGTGGAGATTATTATTACTAGTTTAAATCAAATCTGTAATGAAATGCCTGCCTCTTTTCATTCTCATTTAAAAATACTATTTATAAAATTTATCTTAAAGTCAATTGTTATGTTTTTGAACTCCTTTATGTTATCATAAATAAATATTTGTATAAAGTGAACTGGAATATCACCTAGTAAATGGTTTCTTTAGATAAGTTTGTTGTGGAATTACAGTAGTAGAAGGGGAAAACAACATTTTTAATATACATCATTGGAGTATGTGTGTGGAATTTTAAAATAAAATTTGATTTTTTAAAATCACAGAATATTTATGCTTATATTTTGTCTATGCTATCTTCAGAGTATCCTGGCTTTAAATCCTCGAACACAGTCTCATGCAACTCTGCGTTCCACTCTGGCCAAGAAATTAGACAAGAAACATTGGAAAAGAAATCCTGATAAGAACTGCTTTGTAAGTACCACTGATACATGGTTTCATGATGAAAATTATCTCATTCTACACTGTAAGACATGATTTTATATATACTTAGAAATATAATTCAATATGTGTAAAATACAGCAGTAGTTTTTTCATATTTAGATATTTCATATTTGAATCATCTCAAAAATGTGATTCATTTTGCTCCTTAAAAAATCTTTTGAAATAGTTTAAAATCATATAAATTTAGTTTGTGCCAGATTTTATTTTTTGAAAATGTATAAAAATGTATTAAAATAACTTTATAATAACACAATGATATAGAAGAGTTTCCAAATTTCAGATGTAATTCAACTGAAGAAGGGTATACTAGTATATACAAACTGTTGTTAAATATTCTTTTGGGGAACATATAAAAATTAAGTGTTCAATATGATCATCTTATATTTCCAGATGAGTGCAGGTGCAAAAATCTGTGATTACTGACTCCTAGAATGTTATTTAATTAGGTCCATGAAATCATTATAGGGCTGGGATTATTAGGCTATAAATGAGGATTAAGTAAGTACAACTTTGAAGGCAATATTTAAAAAGTCATTTTATGAGGTATAAATATTTGTTAGGAAAACAACTTCCTTTTCACCTGATTTCCCAAAGTTAATTTCTCAGATGGTGAAAGAGTCCACCTGCAGTGCAGGAGACCTGGGTTCAATCCCTGGGTTGAGAAGATCCTCTGGAGAAGGAAATGGCAACCCACTCCAGTATTCTTGCCTGGAGAATTCCGTGGACAAATGAGCCTGGTGGGCTACAGTTCATGGGGTTGCAAAGAGTTGGAAAAAAATTAATTCCTCCAAAATTAATTTTCTCCAAGTGATTAGTGAGTCAATTAATAAGTATAAACTTATTTAACATTAGCTCTTATGATATTTTGTGTATATGTTCTTTTTAGTACAATGATTTTAGTTTATTTTTATGTACTTCTTAACTACATATAAACTCTCTTAGGATAGGAATTGAGGGTATTTGTACATGTGCATTTGTATTTATCTGATTTTTAATTTTTCTGTCACTGGCCAACCAGCAAAGTTTTTTGAATTAAAAAAGAGAGATAGAAATACAGGGAAACAACATGATTTGCGATGATGACACAGCCACTGACTAGCAGATTTGGATTTGTAATTCAGTTTTCCTTGCTCCAGTTCTATGAGCTTTGCATTCTACCATGACATTTCTTCTAGAGGTCAATGGAAGGACACTAGTGTGGTCCAAATTAGATCAAGGAATGAATCAACTATCAGTTGTGATCCTGTATAATGGTGTAAATAATTGAAGGACACTGAAAAAAGAATCATGTAATTTTCAAACTTAGAAATCCTTTAATGATTATCAAGTCTCTCTCTTTAAATGTGTGAGAACTATGATCCAGATAAGTTAAACTCTCTAGGGTTTCCCCTTTATAGATTATTAAACTGTTTATTTAGAAGGGGAGACATTCACCATTATTACTATTGTTGTTGTTATTATTATTTTATGAAAAATTAGCATTTTCATTCCATAATGTTAGCTTATAAATTGAGTGTCTCATATTTTCTTTTTTTTTGGTAATTGACAAAAATTCAATGAAATAGGTTTTCTGCATTAAATATATATTGCCACAGATTTCTAGGAATGCAGTTTGACAGTATCTTTGTCAGTATCTTTGACAATATTTGTTAATACTTATGTTAGTTTTCTAGGGCTGTCACAGGCTGGGTGGCCTGAAGAACAGTTTATTTTCTCAGTATTCTAGAAGCTAGGAATCTGAGATCAAGGTGTCAGCATGGTTGATTTCTTCTGAGGCATTTCTCTTGATGATAGGTGGCTGCCTTTTCACTCTCTTCTCATGGTTTTCCCCCTGTACATGTCCAAATATCCTCTTATAATGACACCAATATATCAGATAAGAGCCATTCTGTTGACCTCATTTTAATTTAATTACCTCTTTTAAGACTGTCTCCAAATACAGTTACATTCTGAGATACTGGGGTTTAGGTCTTCGATAAATGAATTTGAGGGGATTCAGTCCATAAGAATACCTTTAAATTATCAAACACTTAAACCTAGTAATTCATCTTCTAGTAAACTATCATAAGGAGCAAATAAGGAATGTAGGTAAATGATTAAATAGAAAGAAAATTATCCCAATACTGTTTATTTGTAGAGAAAAATGTGGGTGGGAAAATGCGGGTGTAGCTAAGTAACTTAGGGCAGATCTATTCTGTAGTAAATTGTGCAACCATTAAATTACTATTTTAAATAAAATTACTTTTGAAGTAATTAATAATCTGAAAAAGACTTATACTTTATATTATTAATTTATGGACAAGGTACAGAACAACTCTATATTTCAGAATGGTTGTATATAGTTTTACAGAACCACACCTATACACATATTCATACAGAAAAAAATGAAATGTTAATAGTAATTGTATTTGTTTTCTTAGCACTTTTGTATATTTCAGATTTGCTATAATGAGTAAGTGTTAGAGGAAAAATGAAGTTTTAAAGACATGTTAGTATTATCTCAATTATAAGATCAGATTTATTGCTCTGGATATATACTTGAAAACTCTATGTATTAACTGTATATACTGTATTAATAAAGAACAGTGAAATATGTTTCCAAGAGGGAATATGGAACTAGAGTTGAAAATTATCCTCAGTGACTTTAAAGAATGCTATTCTTCTCCTTTTCATTAGTATTCTCTTTGTGCTTCCATGAAGAATTGAATAAAAGTATTACCACATGATATAATTTATTTTTTAATTTATTAATTTTCATACTTGAGTTTTATATTTACTCATCCAAATTAAAAAACATGCATAAAACACATATGAGAAGATTTTCTAATGTGTAGAGAAGACTAATTAACTAGGAATATGGAACCTGAAACATGACGCAGTGATGAATTCCCTGGGTTTTCTTTTTTTCTGCATATATCTTGGAGCCTTGGAACCGAAGAAGTTGGAAAACCAGAAACGCTAACTGATATACACACACACACACACACACACACACACACATACATACACACCTCAACAAAAGTCTTCTCTTTCTAGACAAAATACTAAGAAACGAACAGTTTCTTTTCTGATCATAGCAAGACGAAGACTTTTAGATAGTAACTGCTATACTCTAGCTGAATAGAGCAACAACAAAAAAAATGTGAGCTCATCGCAATGTATTCATAAAGGCTGAGCAGGGAGCCTGGAATTCAGTTCTGTGATGAGATGATGAGATGATCCAAGCCCTCTGCTTGGTGAAAGAGAAGGGAGTCAGGACTTTCATGCTCACTAGCTACCTGGTAACCAAGGCAGCTCACATCCCAGACCACTGAATTTCTACCCTTATCAAGAAGAGAAGAAACAAGGTGAGGCTGAAAAATATCCCAAAGGGATATATCAGCTAAAAACTTACTAAATTTAGCAAGAGACACAAACCTACAGATTCAAAAACCTCTGTGAAACACGAGGGAATCCATATCAAGATGTATCATAGTTAAATTTCTGAGAACTAAATACAAAGACAGTATCTCGAAAGAAGCCAGCCTGCTTGCCTTAAGGCGAGGACAGCTCCTATGGGCAGTTGTGCTCCAGATCCTTGCCCTGTGGCTCTTAGACTAGGCACTATCACTGGCCCATCCTTGATCAGTGTTTACTTGTCTACCATGCTTCATCCCTCCTGTATTGTTATTTCCTGAAGAGCACCCAATCCATAAATCACATGTTTCAAATTCTGCTTTTAGGGAAAGTGAAAGTTGCTCAGCTGTGTCAGACTCTTTGAGACCCCATAGACTGTACAGTCCGTGGAATTCTCCAGGCCAGAATACTGGTGTGGGGTAGCCTTTCCCTTCTCCAGAGGATTTTCCCAACCCAGGGTTCGAACCCAGGTCTCCCACATTGCAGGCGGACTCTTTACCAGCTGAGCCACAAGGGAAGCCCAAGAATACTGGAGTAGGTAGCCTATCTCTTCTCCAAGGAATCTTCCCGACCCGGGAATCAAACGGGGGTCTCCTGCACTGCAGGCAGAATCTTTACCAACTGAGCTACAAGGGAAGCCTTTGCTAACTGAGGAACCAAACTTTGCTGTTAAGTAGCAGCAGCACTTAACATAGGCAGTCACTTTCTCCTTCCTGCAATTATTTTTTTTTCACTTCCCTTCCAAGACATCACACTCCTTTTTTCTTCTTTCCTCATTGGCGTCTTCTCGGCTTCTTTGTTGGCTCTTCCTTATCTCCTCACCCCTAAATATTAGAGTGCCCAAGGTTCAGATCGTTCTGTTTCTTTTTAAAGACTCAGTAAGTTGTTGATCACATTCTCTCTCCTCAGTTTAGATGCCATCAGTTTAAATAGACAGATGGTTCCTGCATTTATATCTCTTGCCTGGACTACTTTCTTTGATTCTAGACTTATGTAACCAAGTGCCTAATGAACGCATGTGTGTGCTTAGTCGCTCAGTCATGTCTGACTCTTTGCAACCCCATGGACTGCAGTCTATAGACTCCTCTGTCCATGGGATTTCCCAGGCAAGAATACAGGAATGGGTTGTCATTTCTTTCTCCAGGGGATCTTCCCAACCCCTGAGTCTAGTGATTACCTCCACTTAAATCCCTAACAGGCATTTCAGTGTTCACATGTTGAAAATCCAAATTACGGTCTTACATCCAAGATCTGTTGTTCCTGGAGTCATCTCTATCCACCACTTTCTGAAAGCAAAATATTGAGTCCTCGGTTTTGTTATTTGTCTCACCTCCCATACTAAATTAGAAGATCTGTTTGGATATATATATCCTTCAGTTATATTAATAGCTAGAATCTGATTATTTCTCATCACTTCCACCACTTCCTGCCTTTCTAAACCATCGTCATTATTTTTCATCTGGGTTATTTTAGTTGCTTTGTAATGGTTGCATGCTTATGCCCTTTCCTGGTAGAGTATCTTTCTAACAGATAAAGATACATCTATGACATCTGAGAAATCCTTTTAATATTCC